ATCCACAACCTAAGCCACTAAAGGATAAAAACAACAAGAAAAATGGTATCCCATGGGATACAGTGATACAGGACGACTGCATATCACCCGCAATCCAACGATTGCATCGAGCGTTGGAACAGAAATCTGACATTTGCCATCGCCGTCCACTAGCGCACAGTGGAAAAATATATTACCTAGTTTTATTGGGTATTCGCCCAAGTCTACGGGACGACACATCTTCAAGCATCAGTGTAGCTGTTTAACAATGCCCTATCCGTCTTTCTGAAGAGTTCTTAGAACCAAACGACAACAATTATGAGCCACACACTGCACTTCAAGAATTAAAAAACAACTTTTCCAATCTTAAGTCAGCTTATATAAAAACATCAACTATAAAATCATTCATTTACGAAGACCTAAAAACATGTACACACGTTCATCGTCAAGGAAGATGGTGTCAAACATTCTCTGGTACCGCAATACACAGGACCATATAAAGTCCTTAAGAGAGAAGAAAAATATTACTACATTTACCAGGAAGGACTGCAAATATCTCACTAGACAGAATAAAAGCCACCTAATTACCTGCCTCATCTGATAGAACAATCAAACCAATATTAAAAGACCCAGCAAAGTGGACTACCACCAAGAGAGCTTCAGTTAATCAACTTCATAACGACTCCGTCATCCAGGAGGGGAGTCCTACAGCAACTCTAGCCTTCAAGTAGTTCATATGCCCGCTCCTAGACTGCGCCACCGCCAGATGCTCACCATGTGAAGAACGATATTTTATTTATTTTGTACATAATCATTTGTAAAAATGATTTTTATATTTTTATATCTGTACTTTCAATGTATGTTAATTTTATTCATAAAGTTGAAGTTATATAAAATAAACTGATCAAAAAATACAAACAGTATATTCGGATACGACTCTCATTACCCATGTTTTACATGAAGGCATGATTCTTCCAGCCCAAAGAACTGGAAATTAGACCTTCCCGGTAGATTGGTTCTACATTAATCTCTCTTTTATTTCACTATCCTCCTTTGACCTTTTCTCTTTTTATTTCTCCATGCAAGGTTTGTAGGCTCATTCCTCGGTTTGTAGTTTGTAAGGCCCATCCATTACCCCGCAGACCAAGAATAATTTGGGTACTCATCAGCTTTGACACTTGAGGTCATCCTGTATTAGCCTCTTCCTTCATCCACTAAGTCATTATACCTTAATTTTAACACACGAGGCCTTCTGATCACTTTAATTACCTACCTCAACAATATATAATTAAAGTGTTACCAGTGGGTAGTTTCTCAAAAAGTCTTTTCATGTCATCATATTCATTTGTTCACATTTACTTAATGTATTTTTATATTAATGCAGTTGTAAATACCCTTGAAAAAAAACTAAATATTTTTATTTTTATTTAAGATATTTTAAGGAAGAAAGTTTTGAAGCTGGAAGCACCATGCTAACCTAAAAAGAAAAAGAAATCCAATGGTATGAGGTAGGCACTGGCATCCTTTGACGTAGCCATGTCTTCACTCTAGTTACATAGCTCCCTTCCCACCAATTTTTTTTTTTTTTATGATAATATTCATTCATTCATTATTGGCACAACAGACGCATGTAGCGGTCCTTGGCCTGCTCAATTTCCTTTGCCCAGTCATCCCTGTTGGCTGCGCATCTGATGGATATGCTGTTTTTTCACAAGTCTTCTTTCACGTTGTCTACCCATCTTGCCTTGGGTCTTCCCCAAGACCTAACTCCCTCTGGCTTCCCATTAGAAAGCCTTCTCGCTGTCCTCGCTTCAAATTATCCTCTTCAATATTAAAGAGGAGTGGGGCTAACGAGTCACCTTGCCTAAGGCCCGAACAAACTGCAAAGGGGTCGCCAATTCTTCCTTTTATTTTAACTCTACTGACGGTGCCTTCCATGGTAGCCACTGTTAAACGAATCAGCTCTGCTGGAATGCCCAATTCATACATTGCATAACAAAGCTCCTCTCTAATCACCGTGTCGTACGCCGCCTTAAAATCAATGAAGAGCATCCACATGGAGTTACTGTACTCTTTCATTTTTTCCATGCTCTGTCTAAGGGCAAAAATTTAATCGATCGTTGATCGATTTGTCCTAAAGCCACCCTGGTAGTCTCCAAGCTGTCTCTCCACGGATGGCATAATGCGATTATACAGAGGAATAGAGAATGCCTTATAAGTAGAATTAAGTAAGCTGATACCTCTGTAATTTCTGCAGTCACATACATCTTTTCTCTTATAAATTGGGACAATAAGGGACTCGTTCCATTCTTCCGGTAGTTTTTCTATTTCCCGAATATTTGCTACTGATTTGCTAATTTCATCTGAAAGGCGACTCCTCTCTTGTTTGAGAAATTCCCTAGGGATCCTGTCTGATCCCGCTGACTTATTATTCCTGAGCTTTTCCAAAACATTTTCGATGTCGTCCGAATCAGGTGGCATGACTTCATCCATATCTTCCTCTCTTATTGATTGCATGCTTCTGCGGTTTCCTATTTCTCCATCTGCAGGGTTGAGTAACTCCTGGAAGTGCTCTTTCCATCTCTCCTGTAACTCATTCTCCACAATAAGCAGCTTTACATTCTTATCTATTAATCTATTAATGATAATATGCAACAGAAAAATTCTGAAGTTTTGCATTTCTATTTTTATAACTTTTCTCATGACAATTCCCTATGGAAGACCACCAAACATATCCTAAAACCCCATCATATATCACATCCTCTCCGTCGAGGTGATGGCTCTTGGGCAGCATCTGACGAAGATAGAGCCGAATAATTCGCCAAACACCTTTCCCTTACATTCACCTCTCATCCAGAATCCAATCCCACCCACACGTCAGCAGTAGAGGAATTCCTTAATTCACCCATCCCACTCTCCTTACCGCCTAAAGCAGTTAATCCTTCTGAGGTCAAATTCCTCTTACAAAAACTACCTACCCGTTAATCACCTGGATACGACCTCCTTACCTCTCAGATCCTTAGATAACTCCCTCCTAAAGCTGTCATATTCCTTACATACATATACAATAGCATCCTACGAACCACCCACTTTCCTCTTTTGTGGAAACATTCCACTATTATCCTGTTTCCGAAACCAGGCAAACCTCCCAACACCTCAACGTCCTACAGACCAATTAGCCTTTTTCCGATTCTCTCAAAAATCTTTGAAAAGATCCTCCTGAAACGCATCCTACCCTTTATAGAATCCCAAACTCTTCCTTCCCATCAGTTCGGATTTCGTTCACAACACTCTACAGTCCAACAAGGACTCCGAGTGGTTGATCATATTTCCGCAGCATTGGAAAGCAAGCAATATTGCTCGGGTGCATTTCTGGACATAGCTCAAGCTTTCGACCGGGTATGGCACGCCGGGCTTCTTTCCAAGCTGAAAAACTATCTTCCTCAGTCCTTGTACCTTGTTCTCCGTTCCTACCTCTCAGATCGTACCTTCCGAGTTCGTTGCGGTACTGAATTTTCGCATTGCTATCCAATTGAGGCAGGTGTTCCTCAAGGTAGCGTATTGGGTCCCGTCCTTTACATCCTCTTTACCGCCGATATCCCTGTCCATCCCGATCCCTTCCTGGCAACTTTTGCTGATGACACCGCCATTCTATCATCCGACTCAGATCCCAACATAGCATCCTTAAATCTCCAAAGCCACCTCACCTTGATTGAGCACTGGTGTAATAACTGGCGCATTAAAGTTAATGAATCTAAATGCCAACACATTACCTTTACACTCCGACGCAGTTCCTGTCCACCAGTACACTTAAATTCCATCCAGCTTCCTTACTCAGACACAGTCCGGTATCTTGGCTTTCATTTAGACCGAAGACTAACGTGGAACCCACATACTAGACTCAAAAGACAAGAACTCAACCGACGATACGGCCAGCTATACAGACTACTAAACAGAAAATCCAAACTTTCTATTGAAAACAAATTACTTATCTACAAGACAATACTGAAACCTATATGGACATACGGACTTGAACTGTGGGGGACAGCAAAAGCTTCTAACATCAAACGTATTCAATCCTTTCAATCTAAAGTCCTTCGAACAATAGTTGATGCTCCGTTCTATGTAAATAACAAAATCCTACACCATGACCTTAATATCCCATTTGTCCTAGACCTTATTCCAGAAAAATTCTCCAAATTTCACCAGAACCTTACCTATCATCCAAATCCCCTTGCACAATCTCTATCCAGCACCACCCATCCTTACAATCCTCCTCGAAGGTTGAAGCGGCAGTGGCCCAGAGACCTTTTGTAAATAAGCATCTATTGGAGTTTTGGCAATGGCCAGATCCTCCACTCAAGCCCGAGTGTGTATGATTAGGTCAGTTCTTTTGTTTATATACATTTATTTTATTTTATTGTATTTATTTTTATTTTATTTTATTGTATTTATTATTATTAAGTTTCTGTATTATATTTTTTTTTTATTGTAAATAGAGTGTGAGTGTGCTTTCTCTGAACACTATTATAAATGTCCTTGATGTGACAGAATGTAATATTTCTAAATAAACAAATAAACAAAAAAAATTTTATAACTTAATCTTTACCGATGAATAATAACTGAAAATCCATGCAAGTATCCAATTGTGGCTAAGTAATTAATTAGTTCACTTAATATATATTTCAAATGCCGAAATAATTATCAACATCAAACAAAACTATTTATATTTAAAAATTCCCAGAAAATGCTAATGTTTCCTAAAAAATTCTTACTAAAACTAGGTACATACAACCTTAAGACTGTGAATCCAACTTCTACCGCTGCCAAGTCTTAATAGTCAAACATCACCCCTCATGCAAATTCTGGGTATGCACTCCAGTAGAGAATAGAAAAAAATTTGTTCGTGACAGATAAATATAATATTTCATAATGGAAAAATACATTTGCTGACAACTATTTATTTTTTAAGATGCTTTAAAACTTCATAAAATAATGAATATGAAAAAAAAGCATTATACCTAAAATAATATTGGTATTGGTTAGAAAGGTATTCATCATGAACCAATTCATCACCAAAACAAGCTTTGCTCTCAATCCATTTAATGACAAAATTATTAAAAGCAAATGGTACATCCAGCAATATATCAGGAGTCTTGGAAAAATTTAGTTCTCTCAAATCAAATTCAGTTTTAAAACATAGTCCTCTTGAAAGCAGGCACGATTCAAGGTACAGCTCATATTCTCTTCCACATAAGCTAAAATAATAAATTAAAGTAGTAAAAAGTAAGTATAAAAATTATATTAATTTTTTACTAAGGGATCAATGCAAATTATCCCTAATTTCACCTTCAGTAAAATTTAAAAATACAATTGAAAAACTGTTTTAAAATAATAATATCAATATCATACATATTACTACTGAAGTAAAATATTTGCCCATTATAGTATATCTTTTCTTATGATTAAATAAATAAGCAGTTAATTTATCCATAATATATCATTTGTTCACCAATGAAAAATATGTACCATGTTTAAACAAGAAAAAAAAATCAGCTCACCCAAGAAACTTATGTCCAAAGATAGATAGTCGTAGCTCAGTCACATGCCATCTTAATAATAAAACTAGTGATAGTCGATATGAAACTCGAATTCTTAGATATAGGCAGAGAGCCCATACAAAAAATAGACATCTGAAGAAAATTTAGAAAGCATTTTTTTGAATATTCATAACACTTATATTAAAAAAAATCTGGTGTGTTGCACCCATCACACAACTTTCACTTACCATTCTACTTTTAGGAGAAGTAGGTATTTTCAGACAAAGGGAAAAGAAAGTAAAAATCACAGACGGTACAAAATATTTTTTGAAACAATTAATTACCATATGTTTTTCACAGCCGCCTAATGTAATATATTGGATTGTCCAGAAAAAATGAAGGATTTTAGTTTTAAAAGAAAAAATAAAGATTTACAACTACTTTATAAAATCAAAATAGTCTCCATTGCTATTAATACATTTCTGCTAACATATTGGCAACTTTCTCATTCTCTCGGAATAGAATTTCCCATCTGTAGAATTGATAAACTCCAAAAACGCATTTTCTAATTTCCTTTGTCTATTAAATTTTCAGTCACGTAAGTAGTGGTCCAGGTGTCTAAAAAAGTTATAATCCGTAGGTAAGAAGTCCGGAGAGTAGGGCGGATGTGGCAGAGTTTCATTTTCAAGCTCCAACAGTTATTGTGACGTCACGAAATGTTGCAGGGTGTTGTCATGCAACAAAAAGGCGTCTTCCAATTGACCAAAGATGATTTCATTATTGCCAATTTCTGATGCATTGCATTAATTTGGTTACAATACGATTCGGCATTGATGGTTTCTCTATGATTTAAGAAGTTGTAGTGTATCAATGAATCAATGTGTACCAAATGAAGGACAGCAAACAGTATCGCTCATCTTTTTTTGATCAGGTTGGGGGCTTTGGAACATGTTCTGCTGTTTCTCCTTTGTTGAGCCACTGTTCAAAACGTCTACTGTTATCGTAAAGTATCCACTTTTCATCACAACTAACAATTCTGGACAGAAAAGAGTCGTTTTTGTTTCGACAAAGAAGTGTAGCAAAAACTTCATAACGCTGAATTTTTTGGCAGTCGTTCAATGTGCGAGGAACCCAACTTTCAAGCTTTTTTATCTTTCCAATCGCCTTGTAGTGGTCACGAGTTTAAACTCATAAAACAAAATTATATGAAAATCAGATGTTGACATCTTAGTAAAGACTGAATTATATCTAAGCAGCGAAATGCTACAGAGGTAAACAAACATTAACATTTGGAAGAGAATTAATAAGTGTTTATATTCATATGAATAATCCGGTAAATGTAAACAGTTTTTATATAGAGGAGTATTTTAAAGAAAACTCAAAACCCAATACTTTATTGTTGTTTTTTTGGATGACCATTGCCTTTAAGAATAGTATATTTTAATAATTTATTTGATTATAATAAATAATCAAGTGCCACAAAATATATTTAATCCGACATGAGTGCCACTGACAATGAAGGACGCTAAATTTAAATATATTCCATTGTAGGTATTTTTATTTGTTCAAGCATTGGTAAATATATTTATATTTTAATATTTACACTCTGTAATCTATACAATTAACTATTAAATAATAGCAATGCTAGCATTTATGAAAACCACACACGTTTATGTATAGAAGACTGTTCTAACCTTTGGCCAAGCTCGGCAAAGATAGGCTGCAAGTTCGTGTTTCATTGGTTCTCTATTAATAACAAATTATATTAGGTTAGTTCTCCTTTAGATAATTATCGAATTCTTACATATTTCATATTTAACCAATTTTTATATCAGGTTGCAATGTAAAATGATTAATTATTTCAAATCAAAAAAATTAAAAGCTCGAAAGGCTTCTTTAGATATTTTAGGTACAGTGGATGCGGCTATTAAAGTGTTCAAGATCATATCAACAATGAGATGCAATCTCTTGTTGATATGATTGAAACACTAGAAAGGGATAAGGACCAAGGCGGTGTATCAGCCATAGTCCACAGAGCAGTTACTGAAGCACTTATATCTCAGAAGGTCCACGACGTACTAACTCGAATAATAGCTGTTAGCTCCTTGCCCAAAGTCACTGAGCAGCCTGGTGTGGTATCACGTCGTCCTCAGGTTGGTACTTCTAGGAATCAGCCACACTCTGGAACGAATAGTCATCAACCACAGGCTGGGACTTCTAAGGCCCAGGAACAGGTTGGTATAGATATGAATCCGGCTGAACCTTCAGCTACCATCGAACCTTCCCGGTTGGTCTTCAATAAAAGGAAACGGAAGAGGACTAAGAATGCCAACGAAAAGATGATACGAGAGAGTCAAATCAACTGTATTGATTCCAAAGCAACAGAACTCGGAAAGGAGATTGGAATGCCTTCCGGTCAACGTTGGAAGAAAAACTAGTCGACGATGACTGTGATGTGGCGGAAACGGATTACACTGATCACCTGGATTACAGAGTTTCGAGAATCACTGATATCATCCGTGATGTCGCTGAGGAATCTCTCCAGCACCGGAAGGCGAGAGCTTGACCTGTCCCATGGTGGACGCCGGCTTTAACCACCATGAAGAGAGAGCTCTACAAGGCCCGGCGTTCGTACCAGCGGTGTAGTTGCGATAAGAGGATCACTATTCTTCGTGACGAGTACAGGTCTAAAGCCAGGGTATACCGAAACGAGGTTCGTCTACATAAATGGAAGTCTTGGGATGAATTTATCGTTGAGGAATCATCTAAAAACCCCTGGGGTATCCCGTACAAAATAGCCTTGCATAAATTGACTTCAATGCAAGTAATCGCCGCGAGAAAGTTTGACGGTACTCAGGCGAAAACTCCAGAAGAATCGGCGAAGATGTTTATTACAGAGAAGTACCCCAGGGATGATCCATCCCAAGATAATGAAGAGGAGGAGTTCTTAAGACGCACTACAGTATACCCTCCCGGCACGGACCTGTGCCCACCATGGGACATATGGGATCTTCGCACTGCCGTGGACAAGCAAAAGACTGGTCGTGCCCCTGGTTTAGACGCCATTGACGGGGCAATTTTCAAGAACAGTATTCCCGATATAGAAGAAAGATTGCTGGCTGTTTATAATGATTGCCTAGACAGGGAATAAATCCCAAGAATCTGGAAAATCGCTAACGTCAAGCTCATTTACAAAAGAGGAGACAAAGATAAGCAATTAGCCAAATCTTATAGGCCTATATGTCTCCTCCCTGTAATGAGCAAGGTGTTAGAAAACCTGATGCTCACCAGCCTACGGCCACTCTTCTCGAGAGCGAGCCATCAACGGCAGTACGGATCCTCTAAAGGCAGGGGAACCGCAGATGCCCTGCTGAGAGTTATGCCGTGATGTCGAAGAGAAGGTGGAGAAGTATGTTGTGCTCCTCCTGTTTGACATATCATCCGCCTTCGATAGCTTCTGGTGGCGTACTCCGGCAGTTGCAAAGGTATGAAGCTCCCAGCAACTTGTATGGCTTGATCAGAAGCTATCTCCACGATAGGACACTGAAGATTAAAGGTAGCTTCTATGAAGTAGAAAATACAGTGGAAAGGGATTGTCCACAGGGCTCTGTCCTTGACGCTGCCCTATGGAAACTGGTCTTTGACGAGTTGCTGGGAGTGTTAGAACAGGAGCGGTTCTTCGCAACTGCATATGTAGATGACCTGGCTGTTGTAGTGGCCTCGAATAGCAGGGCCAGATTAAAATATGAAGCTGAACGTTGTGCCAACCTTCAAGAAGAATGGTGCGAGAGAAAGATGTTAAGGATGGCGGGTTGCAAGACTCTGGCCATCCTCTTGAGAGTTACGACCGATAGGGCACACCCTTGTTGATACAAGGTTCAAGAATATATCCAAATGAAGTAGTCACCTATCTTGGAATTAGGATTGGAAAAAAATTCAACGTGACGCCTCACTTGGATTATTTAAGAAATAGAATAACCTTAGCCCTTAATGGTCTCAATCGCATAGGGGGAGCCTTTTGCGGCCTTAGATATCCAGCAACTATGTCCATTTATAAAGGAGTAGTTGTTGGTATCCTGAGATACGCGTCTCCTCCATGGAACCGGAATCTTTCGTACCGTCAGAAGCGCAGGTTGGCAACAATAAAGCGGATGGCCTTGCTTAGAGTAACCAGATAATACAGAACTGTGTCTCATGAGGCGGTGCAGGTCTTAGGAGGAGGTATTCCTCTCGACCTTCTCCTGTGGGAAGACCTTTTTAGGCACAACATTAAGAGGGATGGCTTGGCGGATTTACCAGCAAACATTCGGGAGAGGATTCGTGATGACTATTGTGACATTGGAACAATGGAATCGGCGATGGGTGACAACCCCAAACGGATCCACACTAAGAAAATTCTTTCCCACTATTGAATCGCGCTTAGAAAAGAAATGGGTCCTCTCGGACTACTGGGCTTCACAGACCCTCACGGGGCATGGGGGTTTCAGAGCGAAACTTTTTAAACATGGTAAAAATATCGATCCCTTATGCCCCGGAGTACCTGAAACCGCTGAGCACATCCTCGTAGCCTGCACCAGCTATGACGCATTGAGGGCCAAATTAATGAGGAATACAGGGCTTTACGTTCTAACAGAAAGAAAATTACCCCAACTGATGTCTGAACAAAACTACCCGCACTTTAAAAGTTTTTTATGCGGGTGGAAAAAAAACTGGGCCCAACCCACTTCTCCCTGGGTAGGCGTGAAGAAGCAGTACCTGGAAGGCCGCTGATTAGGACAGGAGAAGAAGATGGAGGACGATAAAATAAGAGACAAAATTATGAAGCAGGCTGTGTGCACAGCAATGTAAAAATGTAAAAAGAAAAACTTGCAACAGTGATTGGTTATGGAATGTGTATCAAGTCACAGCTGCAAACTCCCGTATTGTCTTAAAGGCATGGTAGGGAGGAAAATAAAATAATAAGTTGGTGGACGAAGTAACCACAAACTCGTGAGATAACATCCTAACAGTCAACTATTCTGTAACTAGGGTAATAATAACAATGAAGAAAAAAAACAATAATATAAATTAAACACTACATTTTTAATTTAAACTTACCTGGCAACTAAATTTGCAGCAGGGCTATATGTACAGTCAAACAGAGATGCCTAAAATAAACAAAAATCATTGTTGTTCTAAAATCAGTATTATCTAACAGAAAAAGAAAAAGTGAAACAGTGTTATAAAAAAGTTTTACACAATTAATAAATAATTCTATAACAAAGGAATGGACATATAGAAAGTTATATATCCTAGATTAAAATAAGTGTAGATAATGAATGAATGAATGAAAATGTGTTTATTATCATAAAGCAAATAGATACAAAATATAATATTCATATAAATGTTACAACACATAGACAATGGGAAATTCCGTCTGTCGAGGTCTGTGTGATCTTTCTACAAAATATGTTATATTTTATATCCTATAAATTAATGAGAAATAATATTTTTACCTTATTATTAATAACATTTTAAAATTGTTTCCCTGCTCTCCACCATACAAAAATAAAAAATACTTTTTTTTTTTAATAAACGTTAAGATTTAGCTAAACTTGACCAGCAAGAAATAAAACAATAAGTAATAATGATAAGTAGGAAATACATAACTAGATAAAATACGTTTTATAATAAATAATAAACAATACAACATTACATAAACATTCGGTAGCATCGACTATTGTTAGAAGAACTTTAAACTGGAATGATTGAATGCGTTTGATGTTAGAAAGTTTTGCTGTCCCCCACAGTTCGAGTCCATAGGACAAGATAGGTTTCAGAATTGTCTTGTAGATTAATAGTTTGTTCTCAACTGAAAGTTGAGATTTTTTATTGAGCAGTCTATATAGTTGGCCATATCGTCGGTCAAGCTGTTGTCTTTTAAGTCTGGTATGTGGGTTCCATGTTGGTCTTTAGTCTAGAAGGAAGCAAAGGTACTGAACTTTGTCGGAGAGGGCAAGTGGTATGTAGTTGAAATAAACTGATGGACACGACTTGTGCCGAAGGGTGAAGGTGGTGTGTTTGGATTTGGATTCATTTACTTGGATGCGCCACTTATTACACCAGTGTTCAATAAAAGAGAGGTGACTTTGTAGGTTAAAGGATGCTATTTCTGGATCTGAATTGGAAGAAAGGATGGTTGTGTCATCAGCGAATGGTGTCAGGAGGGTTTCGGGATGAGTAGAAATATCAGCGGTAAAGAGAATGTAAAGGATAAGACCCAAGACGCTCCGTTGAGGAACTCCCGCCTCAATGGAATAACAGCTGGAAAATTCAGTTCCACAGCGGACTTGAAAGGAGCGGTCAGAGTACTAGATATAAGGACTGAGGTAGATAGGTTTTAAGCTTGAAGTTTGAAGAGCAATCCGGTGTGCCATACCCGGTCGAATGCTTGCGCAATGTACAGAAATGCACCCGAGCAATATTGCTTGCTTCCTAGGGCTGAGGATATATGGTCAACAACTCGGAGGCCTTGTTGGACAGTGGAATGTTGGGAACGAAATCCGAATTGGTGGGTAGGAAGGTTTTGAAATTCTATTATGGGTAAGATTTGTTTCAGTAGAATCTTTTCAAAGATTTTTGAAAGGATGGGAAGCAGGCTTATAGGACTATAGGATTTTGTGTTATTAGAAGGTTTACTTGGTTTCAGAAAAAGGATGATGACAGAGTGTTTCCATAAGAGAGGAAATTTGGTAGTTCGTAGGATACAATTGTATATATAAGTGAGGAATGAGATTGCTTTGGATGGAAGTTGCCGAAGGATCTGCGGGATTAGAAAGTCGTATCCAGGAGATTTACGGGGAGATAGTTTTTGTAAATGATGTTTGAACGCAGAAGAATTAACTGCTTTTGGTGATAAGGAGAGTGGGATAGTTGTGCCAATTTAAAAAAAAGGGAAATCCAAGAATCTGCATATAACTACCATCCCATTGCTTTAACTAACACACTGTACAAACTATTGCAACAAGACTACAATGGTACTTAGATAACTACAACTTACTTATTATTGACTGGAATTTTATTGGGACGTTTATGGAACTGGGTGAACACAAATGACATATTAAATGATTTCCAAGCGGGTTTTCGTCCGGGGTACTCAACCGTAGACCACATTTTCGGCTTGTTTAGCATTGTTAAACTGACTCTGACAAAAGAACGTCGTAAAGTATATGCATTTTTCATTGATTTTAAAGCGGCGTTTGATTGTATAGATAGGGAGGCTCTGTTTTTTAAGTTGGCTAATCTTGGGCTGTCTCATAAATTTTTGAATATCATAAGGAGCTTACATACAAATACTAAAGCTAGCGTGTATCATAAAGAAGGACTAACTGACTTTTTCGAAACATCAGTAGGGTTAAGACAGGGTTGTCTGCTTAGCCCTTTGCTATTTGTGTTGTTCATGAACGATTTACACGAAAATTTGGAAGAGGGGTTAGAAATTGCAGGAGAAAATATTAGATGTTTATGGTATGCAGATGACGTAGTACTATTAGCCCCTTCCCCAGTAGTTTACAGCGTATGATAAACCACATGAAGAATTACTGCCGAATGTGGAACTTGCATATAAATCTTGCCAAATCAAAAATAATAGTTTTTCCCAATGGAGGTAGGCTATCCAAATATGAGAGGTGGAACTTCGGAGGAAGTCCCGTTGAAGTAGTAAACGAGTATAAGTATCTGGGTGTTATTATTACTCCAAGATTGGTCTTGGGACGACACTTTGCTGAAAGAGTAAGTCATGCAAAATTTGGCCTAAATTCTACCTGGCAAAACTTCACAGCTAATAAAAATGTCCCCTATTCAAGTAAACTCATGGTTTATAATTCGGTCTCTCGGACGGTGATTAGTTATGCTGGGAAGGTTTGGGGTTTCGAGCCCTATGAAGTTTTGGAAAAATTTAAACGATACTTCGTAAAAAAAATTACTGCGTCTCCCAAGGTATGCACCTAATTATATTTTGGCACACGAAACCGGTCTTGCCTCGATATACTCCAACACACTTAAAATTCATTTCGACTATATTTTGAAAGTGCTGGAGATGCCGAGTTTTCGTTTGCCACATATCCTAGCGAAAGAGGTGATATCTAAGAAAGTTTATTGGTACCAAAAGTGGTTAGAATTCGAAGATAGTTGTAAAACTAATCTTGATATTGCAAATATCGCTGATCTGCGCGGAAAATTGACTGTTGTTAGACATAGGATAGAGGACTTAAAAAAACAAAATAATCTAGAAAAATGTCTTCATTCAAGTTTTTGTGTTTACGTAGAGCTATGTTCAGTGGGCACTGTTACACCCTATATTAATGATAGTTTTGATATTGTGACTATAGGGTCCCCTCGGTTTGGTCAGGGTGGGCGGCATAGCACGTAACGATTTTTTGAATGGTCGACCCCTCACCGGTCATATATCGCTATATGATCTAAAATCGTTCAAATCGTTTTGCGAACCCGTCGGTTTGGTCAGGGTGGGCGGCTGGTTATGTAGCATTCCACACTTACCGGAAAAAAACCTCCTGTCGTTAATCCGTTTGTGGACCGCTCTCACTTTATCTTCCCGCACTCCGTTACATAGCTGTTGTGCTCATCGTTTCGAATTCTCTCTGCACCACATAACTTGTGTTTAGGTTTCAGTCTGTAAATTCAGATCAGATGGCGACAGAAGTGTCTCGATTCGAATCTGTCCTCTCCACCTCACCTCTTCATCCTATATACTCCGATCCTGCGGATTGTTTCTTACCCCGTAACACTTTCTGTTCTCTCTCCTATCTTGTTCCTTTCTCTCCTATCTCCTCTACCTCCTAAATGAGAGCTTTAAAATTTCATAAAATTTTGGTGGGCGGTATGTTAACGCCGCATAGGCTTATTTCTTAGTTTTTGCATCATTATTTTCTTTCAACATTTACCCCTTTTTTAATGTTAACAATAAAATGTTTATTTTTTTTTTTTTTTTGTAAAAATTTGAGGGACAATTGTCCCTAAAATGTATTTAGGTTTGTATTGTTTATATATTTGGGCCTATTAATCGATGTGTTATCGCGTTGTATATACCCACCGATCCGGCAGTAATACCCTGTCTTGGGGATTAAGACAACAAAATACGGCCGAGGCAGTCTGGAGATAGGTCTTGTCGACACTAGACCCATGTAGTGGAAGTCTAACCCCACCATCTTCACCAAGCTCCAGGTCTCGTCTAGTCTCCTTCACCTCACCAGCGCCATTTTCGAAGATCAGCTGTTGGGGCGCAGCTGAGTAATCGATACATATCGATACTACCCCACCATCGATTGCTCGACAGCTGGCATCGGAAGGTAACAGGTTGGAGGCAGAACCTCCAACTTGGCTTGTTGTGTTTTTTATTCACACTAAGAAATTTGAACATTTAGTTGACTGTTTTCTTCCCTAAATTTGTTTTATTCGTTTGGACAATTCTTTTGTTTTATTTACAATTTTAGAAATTGATTTTTTTCTTTATTAATAATTGTTAATTTGGGTTTATGTTCACTGAATATTTTATTTTGTGTTTTATTCATTTCAGTGAACTTCATATCACTCTTTATTTGGTTTCAAGTATTGTATATATTTGATATCTCTTTTTTTATCTCAATAAATTGTAAACATTCAAAAGGGGATTTTTTATTTTCCATTTTTTTTTTATTGAAATATTTCTATTTTTTAATATTCTCTTGTGCATGCATTTGTTTTGTTTTTTTCTAATGTTTTACAGGTCTCATTTTAACTCTTTTTATTTTTCCTTCTTTCCCAAAATTTAATTTCACTCGAATTTTCCCCACAATTGAGGAAACGCACCGGGGAAAGATCTGTACTTCGATTTTGAAGTACCCCTGGCCCCAACAACTAATCTACAAGACAATCCTGAAACCTATCTGGACCAATGGACTAGAGCTGTGGGGGTCAACAAAACCTTATTAAGCGCATTCAATCCTTTCAGTCTAAAGTTCTCCGAACAATAGTCGATGCTCCCTTAGTAGAGAAGAAATGGGGGAGCTGGTGCACCAAAAAGAGCAGCCAATCAGAAGCCAGGATTTCAGTGACGTCATCATGGCGGGAAGTTTGAATTTGAATTTGAACAACGGCACGCTGCCTTTTA